TAAATATTCCCCCATATCCAGCCCTGCACATAAGATTTATAATATATGCAAATCAGATACACTACAGAAGAATAACTTTAATTTTTAATAAACATTCATGATGGATAAAATCCTTTTTTCTCCTTGCTTTTAAGTTTAAATTGGTATGACAGAATAGGAGACTTTAAATCACAGATGCTCCTTTAGTTAGAAAATTTTGAAATAACATATAATTTCCCTAGAAGAATACTGTTTCCTTTATTATCTTCATTCAAACACAGCTGTGTGCAAAATCTTTAAAATGTAACTATGGGGGGGGGAAACAAGATTGTATGGTAATTAAGCTATGTGCTAGGATATTTGTGAGGGACACTAAAAGTAATTGTTAGTTTTCGTACATTTTTATTGGTATACTATAAAACACATTAAATGGTCACTCAAAATACATGAATAAAAGAACTTTTTTTTTCACATCTAGCAAACCCATATAGACCAATTTTTGTTTGCCAAAAATGTAGAGTGAGAAAAAGAAGGGAAAGTCGTTGACTTCTTTTACTGACTTCTAAGTGTGTCGCTGGAAGTGGGAAAGAAAGTCCCAGCATTCATTAATTTTATTTTCAAATACAAGCCAATACAAGAGGGATTTCAGATACAAACCAATACAAAATTGTAGGTCTGTACAATTGTGCAAATGGTGAATATGAGGCTGAGACCAATTTAGAGGCCATCATATTGCCCAATGATTGAGCTTGTAAACACATGCAATAGGTATATATGTCTATTGTGTTGATAATATTTTGAATAGTCTCACAGTTATCACAGTTTTCTCACTTCTATAGCAATCTGAGAAATTAATTCTTATCATCAAAAATTTCTCAATATCTCAGTAGTTAAGAAACTGTTCTATTGTGGATGAAGCAGGGTATCCTGCTATAAAATGGATGATTATCAATCAATTATCCTGCTTATAATTGTTAGTGTTATCACAGTCCTTCAGCCAGGAAATATAGAGCACTAGCATCATAAAAATATGTATCAAAATACATTGTACACCAAAGGATGCCTTATCAACAACAAAAAATGTCATTGCTTTTTTTAATAACAATTCTTGGCAATAGTTTAATAAATATAGGTGAAGAAAACTGTCATAGGAGTGCACCACTTAAGACTGATATCTTGCGCTCATCTGCAGTAAAAAAAAAAAAGAAAGAAAGGAAAAGTCACCAAAAGCCTTTTCCCTATAAGTGTTAAAACTGTCCAATGTAATTGGGCACTTTTTCTACCAGTCATTTACTAATTAGATTCCAAACATTTGAGGAGATATTTATCCTAGAAGTATTGATTTCTGGCATCTCTTGATATAGGCATTTGATATACAAGTAAATCATGTGATCTGTTGCTTTTAATATGACTTAATTTTTTTCTTTAGAACACAATATCAATTAAAATATTTCTTAGAAACAGAAGCAAAAACAATATACAGACCTTTGCAGAAGAAACAGTCTCTGATATTAAGGGAATTAAAAAGAAGAGACAGGACATTGAATCCCTAAATGGCAGAAACAAATATCATGGTGGTTGATGACTACTAGAGGAATTGAAATTAATATAAGTCAGCTGAGACATTAGCTCATGAAGTACTTTTTGCCAGGACCAAGGATAAGGAATGTGACAAAACAACTGCCAATGGCTATTATTTCTTCCTATTGATGCATATAGGGTCAAATGATATTGTGAAGAAGAACTACAAACAGATAACCACAGACTTTGAAAATCTGAGAACTGAGCTCAACAGTCTAGAGGTTCAGGTGATCTGATCAATTTCAATTTCATAAAAGAGGACAAGTAAAGGAGTAATAATGACAAAAATAAGGGAGATCAGTAACTAGAAATGTAAATGGTGTTGATGGGAGAACTCTGTGACCATGGTCTGAGTTATCTAGAAGATAAGCTGTTGACACAAAATATGTTGTACCTCAGACTGGTTAAAAATGGATTTGGCCAAAATTAGCAGGATCTTAAATTGAATGTTAAAATTACCTCCTAGCATATACTTTGTACAAGTGTAAATAAAGTGCTAATGCTTCAGTTATTGCACAACAAAAGATACATTCACAGTTATCAGTAGAAGGCAGGATTATATCCCACCTACAGAACCTATACGCATGAGTTAGAAATGCAGGTTCGGTCAAATTCAGTATATATTTCATTGCATATTTTGCAATACTAAATGAGATGGTAATAGAAAGAAGACAATGGCAATTACTGTTCAGCCCTAACTTTTCAGTTCCAATTTAATATAGCCTATCGCAATTTTCTCAATTATATGTTCCCTTGTCTAGTATCCTTAGAGCTAACTGTATTACACCTATACTTTTCAAAACTGTTCCTGTGCCACTTTGTTTTTGGGTGAAATACAAAATATTGGTTGGAAATACATCCATACATAGATGTGTTGTGTGTCTGTGTGTCTGTGTGTATGAATGATTCCCCTTCCCCTTAATGAGATCACCTTCAGTTGCCAAGGTTCTTCTTTATAACCAACTCAGTTCTTTTCCATTGAGGATCCTAAACTTCTTTTTGGCTTTGAAAAAGTCATAAAAGACATCTTTTAAAAACAGGCTTTATTTGTTGAACACATTGTTCAATGTGTTTATATTGTTTTTAATATATTGGATTTTATTTACATATTTATTATACAGTAAGATATTTGGGTAGTTTGTGAAATAATAAGCTGCAAATGATGACAAGATCAGACTACAGTGTTTTACAGAAATGCATGGAGTTACTGTGAGTGCTAACACTCTTAGTATGCACAATAGTTTCTCCTATTTTGTACTATATTGAACTTCAGTTCAGGTAAGAATTTTTAGACCATGCCCAATGACTTGCCAGTAGTGATCACACCTGTACTATGTATTCCCAATTTGTCATAAGACTGTTTCAGAAATTGCAAACATTCTGGATTTATCTTGGTCCAGAGCATATTGGCTGATCTCATTCAGTAGCAATAAGATGACCTTCCTTTTCAAGAAATCACATTTCTTTGTGATTTAATAAATATAAACCAAACTATGATTTGTATATATGGGTTTTATTTTATGCACATAGTTATCTGCAGGTAAACTATCTTCATCAGAGTAAGAAACTTAAGTCAGTCATTATAGGTGTGGTTCAGAAGAGAATATGTTTAATATTGTTGGTGCAAACATTTTATATTCTTTTATATTTGTTAACTAGGTGCCTGAACTAATTTTATTTGAACTTCTTTACATTTTTCCCTCTTATTTGAATGGAATGTTTTGGGTTGCCTACTTTGTCATTCCATTCAGCTTGCTATTAAGATATACCGTATGAGCAAGCTATTCAAAAGATTGTCTCTCAAGTCAATATATCTTTTTTTTAAATTCCACTAAATGTATTTCATTTTTAATATCAAGCAAAGAACAAAACATACTTGCAAAGCAGAGCCTTTCATTTATACTTCAAGAGTGCCTGAACCATTGTGTCAGAGTCCAAATTAGTATGTGGAGATTTCCAGTTTTAGGAAGAAACAGAATTTAATAAATCAGAAACATAATTTGAAACTTTCAAAAGGTTTTGTTTTCCATTTTGTCTATCTTGCAGTTTGAAATCAGCTGTTTCCTTTTTTTTTTTTTAACTCTTAACTGTTGACCTGTTTGGATACAAAAAACACTTAATTTACTAACTGTACTGATATTATAAATCTACTCTATGATAAATGAATTAGATATAAAACTCTGCCAGGACTTCTGTTTTCACATCTTCTTCCTATTGAATCCTTTCTTTTAATTTTGGGTATCCCATATGATAGTAATTTTCAACCTTCCCTTGTATCACCTGAATAACTTCTCTAGACTAAGCAAACCCATTTGAAAAGTAGGAAGGTATTTCGGGCACTGCAGGAGCTGGAGGAAATCAGCAGCCTTCCTAACCGTTTTGCTGGTAGAAGCAACTTGAAGAGAATTTGGCTCAAATTAAGTTCCCAGCACTGCAATAAAACTCTAGATCCAACTCATGGTCTGTGTAATGTAGATGATGATGGTGGTGGTGGTGGTGGTGGTGATGATGATGATGATGATGATGATGATGATTTGCCAAGGTTATATCTCAGCTTTTGTAAGGAGCTCAAGGCAGTGTATATAGTGTTCCCTCCTCCTGTTATCCCCCCCTCCCCATAATGCTGTAAGTAGCTTGGACTAATACAGAGAGCGACTGGTCCAAAGTCACCTAGTGAGCTTCTGTGGCTGAGAGTGGACTTGAATTTGGCTCTCTCCTTGCTACTGCAATGCCACAAGCTATGACACTATGGTTCTCTACCAGAGATGTCTCTCTTTAGCACATTCAGTTCCAATTTTTTTAAAAAAAAAATACAACTGTCAATCATTCAGGAATCCATAATGATTCTTATTCTTTAATACATTTCAACTGAATCATATCAAATTGAAAGGCAACATATCCAATCCAGAATGAATAGGCTGCATATCCACTGATTATAGCTAAGTATATTTAAAATTATGTTTGAATTTCACCTGATTGTTGACCTGTGAATCATATTTACTAATCTGACTTCTTTCTGCTTCCTTGATATTATCCTAACTAAAAATGGTAAAAGGAATAATTAGAATATGGGCATAAGATAGTACAAGGAATAGTCATGCCCAAATCTCCGCTCAGCCATTAAGAAAAAAAAAGGTTGACCTTGTTGCCTGTATGTATTACCTGAAGCTTATTGGACAAAACCCTTTTGTGCAATGACCTTGAACATTTTGATTTTCTCAGTCTAAATTTAGCACAAGTTTGTTAAAAAAATAAAATGGGGGAGAATCATGCATGTATTGCCTGAAGCTTATTGGACAAAAACTTATTTATAAATGTAGTAAATAATGAAAATTAGGATTTTGATCTTATTCATCTACCAGAAACAAAAACAGTGAATGTACATATATTAGGAGATAGATTAATGATGTTCATTAACATTTGGGATATGTTATTTATATTCCAGCTGGGAAGTTCTGAGATTTCTTCTCTCCAATCTAAGATGGTGGATAGAAGAGTATGCCTTTGATGGGTTTCGATTTGATGGTGTATCATCTATGCTATATCACCATCATGGAATTGGTAAGTTTAATTGTGACCATATCACAATCTGAATTATTAATAGTTTCATCTGAAAATCCTACGGTAAAGCCTATAACTTTTACTTTCTGCACTTGACACTTCTATTATTTTATCTTATTAGGTGAAGGGTTTAGTGGAGATTACAATGAATATTTTGGTATGCAGGTTGATGAAGATGCAGTGGCATACCTGATGATGGCAAACTACATGATACATTTTTTGCATCCAGAATGTATAACTATAGCAGAGGTAAAGCTTACATGACATTAACAGAATTACTTTGAACTATTTATTTGAGGCTGTTTTGACTGAATCAGTAATCCGTCACAATTATAGTAATTCCAGTTTATTTTTTAAGCATGATCCAGGCTCTGTTAAACATTTTACTGATTTCATCTGCAGAATTAAATATATGCTCTAAAGTATATTCTTGTGCATGTGTATGTGAGGGTTCTTTGTTTTCCAAAGACTGGACACACAACAGTGTAGCAAATCTCTACAAAATGCGTAGTGCAGCACACACCTTCCCCAACAATAGACTATTGCTCTCCACCTATCTAGGACTTGCAAGGTGATGTTGCCATGTAAATATGTCTTTAATACTCAGTTCAAGCAAAAGTCTATAGGTCTGTAAGTGGCATACAACCTTCATCTCCCTCCAAACATTCTTACTCTGGTTGGGATGAGGTGTTGCTTCAGTGTGGTTATTCTTCTTCTAGTTGCTACTGAGCTCCTGGCAAAGCTCCAAGCTCTAGGCAGGATTCCCACCAGGATATGCCACTCACCATGACTTCTGGTCCTGGCAGTTGAATGATAGTCCTCTCGCCTGCTTGTAATAGCTTCCAATCTCCAGATGTTGCCTCCGCTTCCCTATCTGCATGCTGTTTGCTTATCACATTTCCTCCTACACACAATTCTCCCCCTCTGTCTTAGCATTTGCTTTTCTAAGCTAAGAGCTTGGGTGGGGTGAGGCTACCTCTGGACGTCAGCAAGTCCTTGAAAACTCCAGGGGGTGGTTCAGTTACACCAACAGCTGGAACGCCGGCTTGGATGCTTGTGAGTAAACTTTGAGTGAATGAATGAATGAATGAATGAATGAATGAATGAATGAATGAATGAATGAATGAATGAGGGAAATGGGGTGAGAAGTGTTTCTGCATGGCTGCAGGTACTTTTCCC